GCATATCCAGCAGGCTCATTGGCCTCAGATGTTGTGACTGTATTAAAGAGTTGCATTTTCAGCCATTCAAGGTATAATCAACCCTTTGCCAATATGTATAGATGTCACCTATCTGGAACCATTCTGGTGGACAATCCTACAGCCTTTATGGAGGAAATTTTCCACTCTCTTCCACTTCACTGATCAAACATTTTTTCCCTAAGCTCCTCTCCCCCGTTCCATGTTGATTTTCTTGTTAATGTTCCCCATGACCATCTTATAACCATTTCCCCAAGGGAACATGTGAAGAAGGAACTGCAAATTACCCCTTACTCTTGTTCCAAAGGTCCATAAAGCATCCAAGGCAATTAGGATCTTCTCACCAAAATGCACAGAGACCATGTTTTTTACTTAGAGGAGCAATCAAGTGACTGCAATCAACACCATCCTTTCATGAAATACCCCCTGGTTGTTGGTCTAAAGTGCACCAGAGAGGGGACAGAAACTCTCTACTTGCCAGAGAGAGTGATATTGGTCAGTCTCAGAGCAATGGAAATTTTCCTCAAGGTAAAGCCAAACCTCAGGTCAAAGTTACTGCAGTTCATGGACATCCCAACAGCTATGGACCTCGTCTGAAAAAAGCTCAGGGGGTCCTGAATCCTGGAGAGAGCCAGGCGCAATCCATCATTTCCAAAGCCAAGTGTGCAGGGTCATGAACCCTACAGGAATCCAGGACAAGGACTGGAATTGCTCAGCATCCTCCAGCTGCTGCCAAGGCAGAGATGCAGAGCCCCATTCTGTTGTCACAGCTCAGGGGAAGTCCCTGTTGTGCACAACAGGAATTTCACAGCTGATCTCAGAAACTGGGTCAGGGCTTTGCTTCTCAGTGCATTTGCCATTTCTGTAGAATTGTTTTGCAGCTTATTGGCTCCTGATATCTTCTGTGTGACCCTCTCAGCCTCTGAGACCAGGTCCCTACCAGGTCTTCAGCAGCTGGCAATGCTGCACTACCTGACTTGTGTTCTGGGTGTTCTGATTACAAGGTGAAACCTTTCTCCAATGCAGGTTTCTTTGTGTATGTCTGCCCAGGCATAGGATATCAAATTTTACTTGCTTATAAATAATCTGCATTGCTTAGAAGAAAAGGGTTTCAAAATTAATCGATGGCATTGCACCAATGTAACACACACCTCTGCCTGGAAATCCTGCTCTAGGCTAGATCTCTCACCACTGCTAAAAACTTCGAAACCTATCACACTTAACAGCAAACATTTCTGCTTCTCTCACACTTTTGTCCATCAGGATCTGTGACACTTTGTTCTGGGGGCTGATCTTTCATGGGGGATTTTTCGTGAAGAACCTTTCAGTATCTGTCCTGCCATCCTGACAGACCCATCACAAATCTGGAATCCATGGACAGAGAATGTCCTGGGAGATTCAAACGCAAGCACCTTGATGCTGCACCACTGAAGCACCATACAAGAGCCATTTGGCACCAGTCAGATTCCCTAATCCATTCTCCACTGACTAATACACCAAGGAGAAAACTAAATCAAACACATTCAGTCAAGAATGCTCTCAAGCTGCTGGCCTGCAGAGTGAGTTTATTTGGATGCTTATTATTTCTGGCCTGAGCAATAATTTAAGCACCTGGTACAAATTACTCATTGGTAGCCACATTAATTCCTGGGGCTTTTCTTCTACCTTAAGCTAACGCCAAGAAGAAATGGCAGAAGAATAACTCACTTGTTTCTGGGCAGTGTTCTGTGTTCTCCATTTGCCCCTTTTCCCCAGTAGCTCTTTTGGCCTCTCTGGGAGCCAAAGTTGCTGCTTTCTCCAACAAAAATGGAATATGTAACCTCCAGGCTGGAGCTGCTGTCTGTTGGGAAAGTCCCATCACTGCAAGCAAAGACACACCATGTAAATATGCAGCACAGCACACCAATTAATTAACACTTTTAATTGCACCCCAGACACAATAGAATTTGTGTCTTTAATTTGGAAAAAGGTGCATGCAGCTCTATAAGAGCCTGCTTTAAAGTATGTTTAGAAACCAGTTAGTCTCTAAACCAAGTTAGTGACAAGGCAGCTTTGTGCTTGAACATCAGGACCTCCTGTCCAGGAGCTCCTGTTCAGCAGGAAATGTTCAGCAATTATCATGTATTCCCCAGGCATGCTGAAGCAAAGAGAATGAAAGGCTAAATTTCCCCTTGTATTTATGGCTGCCCAGGGAAGGGTTGATGTGGTCCAGAGGGGAAATGGAAGCTTTTCTCCTGTCTTACACTAATTAACAGGGGAATGTCTCAATTTCCATTCTTGAGCATGTTACACTGGGGGAAAAAATGGATAGAAGACGCATTTTAAGAAATTACCTTGCCAGAGTGAATCCAATTCCATTGTTTGAAAACCTGGGACAGAGGAAAGACAAGGGTGTAAATGATGAGGAATGTCTGCAGTGAATTTGGCCTACAGACCTACTTATGCCTGTTAGGGGGGAATGATAAAACAGTAACCTACCCTGAGCTGCAGAAGATAATGTCACCATCCCTGGTCCAGGCCCTGTGGTGATTTTTTTTTAAGAGCATTAAGACCATCAATCATGGCAGAAACTTGAGGCTTTTCAGGATCAGCATCTTGATGTGGGCAAACCTGAAGAAAGAATCTTGGTTAATGCACCACAAGGGACACAAGAATCAACTTCAGACAGAGGCTGTAATGCCCTGTAGATATTTTTGTCTTCCAGTTATTGGCATGATAGGTCTAAAGAGGTGATATGTCCTGAATCAGAGTCAGGATATTAGCCTGGTTACAATTTTGAGCTTTGGTGTAAAGCAGAAAACAAGAAACATTCATAAGGATGAAATTCTGGCCCAGGTGAAGGAGCAGGTGATTTCTCACTAGACACCAATGGGCCCAGAGCTGCTCTTTAATTTGATTCAATGTGATTTAGAGGCATAGAAAACATTTTTCCCAAGGCACTCAGATCCTTTTGTGGATGTCCCTAGAGGGCTCATTGAGAATCCCTCTGTTGATGTTGGAAAATCAATTAGCCACTTTCAGGAATCTCATTCAGCAAAGCTAACAGAGTAATTGGAGCTGCTCTCCTTGCATGGACAGCCCAAATCCCCAAATGCTTCTGTGGCTGCTGAAAGCCAAAAGCTTCTCCCTGGGAACTGGGTGCACCTAAATTGCTAACAGGGTGCATCCAAATTGCTATTTCTTGCCACAGTGGCTGTTAGTGGTAGATTTGTGCTGTGTTTGGGGAGAAATGGCCATTACTTTTTCTGAGTCTGCCCTCACCTCCTGCCTCTCCCAGCTGAGGTACAAAGGCACATTTCCCCTTGGTGCACAAGGGGGTGGCCCTGGCAGGGAAGTGTCACAAGGGACACACAGCCATCCTTTCCTTCCAGCCTTATGGGAACATCCTATTGATAGGGTATGATGGAGGAGAGAAAAAGCCAAGGCTTGACCAGGAGCAGCTGATTTCTTTCAGCTTCCTCACACGGACCCAAACTGGCTTTAATTTACCTGCTTCCTCTCTGCAGGAGGCAGCTGACCAAAACCTTTGAGGCTATTTATTTTCCTCATTAATCCCAGGCCAGTCTCAGCAGCCTCTCACATCACCTTTCAGATGTAAGCTCTCCTAAGCAATTAGTGATAAATATTAGAGTTTACAAACCCACTAATGCACTAATGGGATCTGGATCCCCTTCCACATGCTTCACTGCTTAGTCCTCACAACCCCAAGTGCATGGGTGTCCTTTTTGGCCAGCAATAACACAAACAGTCCAGTGCATGCCTATGGAATTGTTGCCTCTGCACATCAGAGAAAGCTTGTGTGTTTTTTTCAGAGGCTCCAGCCGTAATGAGGCATTAATGACCTGCTAAATGCAGTGCAGGAGCCAAGATGCAGTACAACTATCCAAAACACCGAGCCATGCAGCGTGTGCTCACCTGGCATCATCCACAGTGAGATCCTCCCTGGGATCTTCAGGCTCTGGTTGTCTTTACTCCTTTTCCAATAAACAACCCAGCCTGGAAATGCACACGCCTCCAATTACTTGAACAGGGACCAAAGATGATGGATTTTATCAATGGCTGTGGGCAGGCAGAGCGTGCAGGCACAGGAGCAGCAGCAGCCAGGGCTCTCCCTTCCCTCTGGGGCTCCTGGCACGGCTCAGCAGGACACGAGCGCAGGATGTAGCACGCTGAATTCGGGACACAATGCCAGATGTTATCCATCAGCATCTTGGGCTCTCTTCTGACCCAAGCAAGGCTCTGAACTCCCACTCTCCCTCCCTCGCAGAAAGCAATGAGGGGCCCTGCCAAGCTCTTGATAACTTTTTGGAAAAAGAGTGTTGTTAAGAATTAAAGCTTTAAATAACGAGTGACGAGTCCCCCGGCAGGCCAAAGAGAACATGAGCTGCTGCAGCCAACTCACAGGCTTTGGGCTACAGCAGCATGGACCAAGAGGTAAAACATACAAAGCACAGCAAACAAAACCAATTTTTATGGAGAATATTGAAAAATAAGTTTAAAATGCTTTTTATGCCTTACAGATCATGTTTTCACATCAACAATATGTTTGGGGGAAAGTGTTTTTCTTGGAACTACCCTTGGATTTTTGGTCTCATTTTCCAGAGGTGATGAGCAGTTGTTGGCACAAATGACTTTCCCTCATCCCCTTAGATCCTGGCATCACTGTGGTCAACAGCAGTGCTGAGAGTGCTGCCTGTCTGTCCTGAAATCTCACTTAGAGTAGGTGTGCCCATAGCCTGGGACATTCCATCTAACACAGCCACACAACTGAAGCTCCTGGAATGGGACTTGCACTCCCCTCAGCTCCCTTTTCAATATTTAGAACCAACAGGGCCCCCAGAAGTTGATTGAGTGTTCAAATGATACAGTGTTCAAAAAAAAAATCAAAATGTGAGACACCCGCAAGCATCACAGAGCAGCGCACACAGTCAGTGCCATGCTATTATACTGACAGAGACATAAAAAACATCACTTGCCTTGAAACTGGAGTGGGCTCTGCTGTAGGGGATGTGTGCACCCTGTCCCACTGGATATTTTCCATCAGATTGTCTGGTGAGGACCCAGGGGAAGAGGCACCATATCCCAACATCCTAAAATACAGAGGGAGGTGTGAGGAATGGGGCACTGCCATCAGTGATACAGGCTGCCCTGGATGCAGCTTTCCACACTGTGCTGGCCAGATTTCCAGCCTGAGCCTGCCCAACTTGTGGCTCCTGGGGGACACCAGCAGCCACAGCTCCTGCACCTCCCGGCTCGGCCTTTGCCATGCACAGTGCGTCCCCAGAGCACACACAAGGGTTTTAAAATGCATTTATTGTGGGTGAAATTCAGGTGGTTTATTATAAAACAGTGAGGTCTGTACAGGTATATAAAGCACAAACATATTTTGGGTAAATATAAGAGATAATAATGATAGAGTATGTATTCACATATAGAAATATAAAATTTAATGGTTATTTATTTATTTATTTAATAGTTAATTAGTTAATAGTTAATAATTTAACTACTAACTACAAATAAAAATCAATATTTTCTAAGAGATATCACACACTACTTCCAGGCATAATTGTAAGAGAAATCAGTGGAGAAGTGTAGGCAAATATTTGTTATTAACAGAGACAAAGGGTGCAGAAATGCATATCTAAATTCTATGTCTTAGTAAAAACTTATTCCTCCTGACATCAATAAATAAGTGTAGAGTATTTGGGAAGTGGAGGCAAAGCACAGCTCTGCCATTAAATGGTTTTACCTGAGCAGCAGCCACTGCATTCTCTATTAAGTTGTTGTTTGGATTTGCAATCCAGAACGTGCTGACAGCCCTGAAAAATCAAAATCAAAATGATCCTAAGCAGTTACAAAACAGGAAGGGATACATTTTCATAGCACTGCCCTGGACTTGAGCCACAACTCTCCTATTGACTTTAAAACTCCACACAACCTTTTAATGACACTCTTTGAGGAAAATAAACCATCTAGTAATGTCAGACATGGTCATTTATGGAGCCACATGCTGAACCTATTGTGAATTATATGGGAGCATTAACACAAAATCCAAACTCTGTTCAATGCAGCTGAAGGAAATCCAAGGGTTGAGGGTTTTTTTTTAAAGTCAAGAAGATTTGGAAAATGTCTGAAAATGAAACTTCTGGTCTGTTTTTTGAAACTTTAGGGTCAATGGCAGGAGTTAGGGATTCTCTATGAATTTATGAAGCTTCTACATGAACAAACAACCCAAATATCCTTGCAAGACACAAGTGGCCCATTAAGAAGAAGATTAGGGAGATATAATGCTGATGTTTGTCCCAGTAAGGAGTTTTTCTTCAGAGGGAAGCTCAGTAGTGGTACACACAAAGCCAAATATAACTATAAAAACATTTTCTTCTGTTGTCTTACTTCATTGGATAGCATCTTTTGCAAGTAATTAATAAAGATCATGTATAAAAACACTGCTAACCCTCTATCACTGAGAAGTGCCTCCATCAGCCCTGGGGCTGACTGGAGCTACAAGCATTGTGCATCACTGTGCACTGATCTTAAAACTACTCTGAGGAAGATTACATGCATAATTAAGGGAAAATTGCAAAATACTGGATTTAATAATACCCTCAGCTCTCAGAGAGAATATTTGATTCAGTGTCATGGAGTAAATATCAAAGACGCATAAAGATAAGTGTGTCTCACATGATAAACCAACAAATCAGCATGGCTAATCTAGAAATTTTTATGACTGCAACATTTCCAAAATTAAATAAGATATTCTTTAAAATGCACCATGCAAAGTCATTTATATTAACAAGATTCACTTTCTCAGAAGGTGCAGGGCCACTTCTTTCCTGTAATGATCATTGTGGGTAGAGATGGTATTTTACTATTTCAGTCTATTTAATATTAATTGACATGCCCAGGGATATTGCATTAAACCCTAATTTGACCAAAAGGGCTTAGCACAAGCCTCCTTTGATGTACAGTCTTATGAAGATAAATTCAGAAATCCTTCTTTTTAATGTAAATACTAAATCAGGCTAGTTAAAATACCAGCTATTTGTTACTAAATCTTCCAGAAACCTTAACTTTGTACTCAAATGATCCCTGTCAGCATTTACATTCCCTCTTCAGGCATGCAAAATTCCTGTTGACGTCAGCGATGTCTGTGCAAGACTGCAAGATTAACTAATATTAACCTGCTTGGTTATTTTTGTGTACAGAGGGATACTTGAAATAAATCCATTTCGAGGAATCATATCCTGTAATTTCCCCTTGATGGGCTGCAACTCTACACAACATCTGGAGTCACAAACGCTACGGTCCCCATAGGTACGGCTCTGCTGGATTTCATTGTTTTCCTGGCAGTCACCCCTCAAACTTGTCATCTGCTGCCTTTGTTTCTGCCTCGGTGAGGTGTCCTAAAGAGAGTTAAACATGAGGCACAACAAATTGAGGCACACAGGTACCCAGCTCCCCCTGAGTGAGAGTTGGAAATGCAGCAGGACCCTACAGAGGGGTGCAGCAGCACCTTGGAGTGAGCCGCAGGTTGGGTAACAGAGAGCTGACACTGAGCGTGTCCCTCCCAGCCAGCTGGGGCTTGGAATCACAAACTGGAAATGGATTTAGACAAAAAATGCAAGCGTGCCTGCCAGCCTGCTAAGATCAGTGAGCCTGGCCGCTTCCAGCCTCCCAAATGATGGGCAGGGCAGGAGGAGGCCATGGAAGAGTAACTCAGGACAGAAAAGCGCAGCAACAAACTGCTCATTGTTTTAAAGAGCATTTCACTTGTAGGGTTTCATTCTTCTGCATTTAGCTGCAGTTTGGCTAATTGTGCTTCAAAGGGCTGCATGAAAAGCCAGACTTGTACCCAAAACCAGATTTTAGCTTCAATTAATATGACCAGTCCCAGCTTCAGGCTTGCAGGGCAGCCCTGCAAAGTCACACACACACAACTGCAGAGATCACTCTCGAGAGATCACTCTCGTGACCAGGACTAATGTGAGTTAAAGATCACTTCTATTAGCACTCAGACATAAGGGTCCATGCCATCACAACAAAACCCCAAAAACTGATCAATTCCAGCATATCACTGATAGGAAACCCAAGCCTGGAAAGGCACCCACCTGCAGCACTGTCACAGTGGCATTTTACTGTGTGTGCCAGCATGAGACACTGTCCCCAGCAGCAGCGCTTCATGCTGGCACACGAACCACTGAGGCCAACACCAGATGATCAAGGCACCACTAAACACTGAATTATAAATAGTCCAGCAACACAATATTGGTGACCCTTCTGCCCTGCAGCGTTGGCCAGGACAGGCTGCACACGCCTGACATGTGCCCAGCCCTGGCACAGCCCAGCCTGCTCCCAGCTCCCCAGGAACCCCAGCTGCTGCTGGCCTGCCAAGCCTGGCACAGAGCAGCAGATGGAGAAGGGGACTGCAGACATGACCCACACACTGGAGCACAAACCACTCTGGCAATGTGCATCTGAAATTACATGCTCTAAAACCTCAAAATGGGAGGGGGGGAACCCTCCTCTCTGGTTCACTCTGCCTCAAGGGCTGGAATTTCATGATCTGATGCTGAAGCAGGTGCCTGTCTGCGTTATTTAACTGCCTTGCTCTGGTACACATGCTGCTCTCTGGAACTGCAAATTATTTTAAATTCTTTTAAAAGCAAAGCTGCTTATTACATTTTAACTACTCTTCATTTAAATGACTACAGATCAAAGCCACGTGAGTCTTTCAAAGAATCACATATTTAATCTTTACTATAAAATCTTCTCACTGATTCAAGTATTCCAAGCCCTCAGGGCCACATGACCAGGGCTGGATCTCACTTGGATTATTGATTGCTCAATTGTACCCCACACATGCAGATAAACCCTTGAGTATCTACTCTGTTCTGATAAAGAGCAAGGCCATGCATCATTCTTCTAAGGACCATTATTAGCATAAGGCTTTTTTTTTTTTTTTCATCCCAGACACATTACTTCAATTCCAGAGCTTTAATACCCAAGCAGAAGAAAGCAAGTTAAACTACATCCCCACATACCGGACAAGCCTCCTGTCAAGCTAAGGACTCTGTACACAGAATTAGGCTCTACAGACAGAAAATCACAAATATGGGAAGGCAATCAAAAATTGTCAGTGATATGAACAACACAAATCAAGTTTAGGATACATGAACAATGCTCCTGTGTTGTACAGGTCCTGTATTGCATTTTCATTAATACATTCTTTCAAGGGGCCCTTTCACATCTCTATTTTGTGTCTTACAAAGATTTTTCAGTCCTTACAGGACTGAGGAAAAGTTGCCAGGAAAAACACAGGAGGTCAGGGAGTGTCAGCCTGAGCACCCACCCAGTGAATGAGGAAATGCTCACTGACACCAAAATATCACTCAGGGTCCTGCAGAGCACACAGCAGCTGGACACGTTGGGACTGGAGCAGGAATCTCTCTTTTCCAGCTGGGACATGTATGGTTTTGTTGTGACCTTTTTTCTAGGTTCAGAATGCCCTTGTGAGGATCTAGGTCAAAGCCAAGCTCCTGAGGACTTTCCTGGCACTGAAGGGACCATTTGGGTCTGTTCTGTTCATATTTCATTCCCTTTGTCAAATGAGCATTCTGGGATATATTTCACATTACCCTGACTTGAACAAGCCCTGTCTTTTTTATCTCATTGCAAATTAAAGGTCCATTGCTTCAGTCAGCTCCATTTATACTTCACTGCTTTAATTTTAGATGAAAGTTCCCATTATCACAAACTGTCCAGAATTACCATGGCAAAGATTTCCCTGTATCTGATCACTCTATATCTGATCTGATCATATTAATTAGGCTGTGCTGAGAACCTGACATTTATTTCAAACAACTGCACCAGCAGAGGAACAGTCCTAACTCAAACAGAGGTGAAGTCAGGACATTTCTTGGGGAAAATATGCCTTATTTCAATATTCTGATTTATCTTTGTGTCACAGATGGCTCTTGCTATTTAGTCCTGGCTATGCAAAGAACTGAACTTGCTACTAATAAAATAGGTGTCTTACCAGAAGGCCATGAGAAGCAGTGGTGATAGCCAGGTTATTGAGGTGCATTGGATGCTCACACCCTCCTCTCTCATCCACATGTATCAATGTGTCCTCCTCTCTCATCCACATCCAGGTTATTGAGGTGCATTGGATGCTCATATCCTCCTCTCTCATCCACATCCTCAGCCAGGTGAAAATGCACAGGATAACTGCCCAGGACTTTTTGCCCCATGTTTTTCAGTTCCACTCCTGACATGCGAACAGAGCTAAAATTCCTTAGGATCTGTTGAGACAAATGCAGACCCAGGCGAGGCATTACAATAGAAACACACACGAAAAGAAAAACAGGTTTGGGCTTTTTTCCTCTCTCATTAGGCAATACTCCAGCAGAGTGAAGGATGGTCCCAGGAGGAAGTGTGAGCTCCCTGCTTGCACCCAGAGCAGCTCGGGGCCTGCAGAGCCGTGTGCCAGCAGCTGCACACCTCGGGCAGGGGCTGCCAGGGAGCAGCTGCCAGGCAGCATGTGCAGAGTTCAGCAGGGGCAGTGACAGACACGGTGCTCCTGCCAACTGCAGAGAGGGGGAGCGTTTGCCACCAGGCTCCGTTTCCTGGCAGCTCCTGCTGCCGAGTGATTTCAGCCCAGACCTGCGCAGCTCCTCGGTTCCCACCGCCTGGCGCAGGAGAAACTTTGCACAGAGCCCCTGCAGGAGCAGAGCTGCACCCAGGACACGTGAGACAACTGAGAGGCAAAGCACAGCAGGGTGAGAGCCAGCACTGCTGTGAGCCAGGGAGGCAGCAGGTTTGCTCTGCAGGAGCCACAGTTCCTTCAGTGACATCTCAAGAGCCAGCTCTGCATGGGCCCTACTGACAGCAGGGCTGCCAAAGGATCCCCTCCAAGGGAATCCCCTTGTTTTTGAGACATAGTGAGGAAAATGTCTCATTGCAAGTCTAGTTTTTCAAGACAGGCCAACAAATTCCCCCCTTTTTTACAGACAAATATACTTTTTCTCATACATACAATGGTAATTTGATGCTTTATATCACTTTTTTACAAACTAGGAAAGGAACTATCTGAAACCACCTACAATCAAAAGTATTAAAAATTACTCACTTTAATGTGCCCTCCGAGTGTATCAAAAAACTGGTGTAAATATTGTCCATAACAGGAATCTTGCATTTCCTCTTGAATAAGTATATTTCTGGTCAGAAAACCTCTGCTCTCATATAAACATCATCTATGACTTCTCCAATGTGAAGACAAAGTGGGCTGCCTGTGGAAACCAGAAATGTTTTTAGTCAGGATGAACACAGCATCTTTATTATTGAATTGTTCTGGCCAAGTGCACACCCTTTCTTTAAGCAATCACCAGGTCTGGGGACATGCCTGTTCTGAGTATCTGATCCCAGAGGCTGCTACAAAGGACTCCTGCCTCTGGTAAAACTTTCAAGCCCCAAAATAAAATTAGGGCCTTCGGCTCTCATATGTGCTCTTGTGTTTATGGGACAAAAACTACTTAAAAAGACAAATAAATGTAGAATGTAAAAGACAAGAAAAAATATATTTTATAAATAAATATTTCATACCATCAATTTTTACTTGACCTTTTTCCCTTGGGCAAGGAAGGAGATTAAACTCTTCAGCCTGATGCATAAAATAATCTGTGCTGGCAGTGGCAATACCAGGTCACCAAGTAACCAACTTGTAACCTCATCCACCAGATGAAGAATTATTCCTTGGACACTTCCACTTTAAATCCACTATGAGGCACACCTGAAAAATGAAGCAATCAATTATTTTTACAGCTGCACGTGGCAGAATAACGCAATTAGATGAAGAGCATGCTGATTTAATTTTGATCTAGATAACCCTTTGCATGATAGAAGTGCTCTAGCCATTAAATATATTAGTGCTATCTCTTTGTAGAAAGCTAAAACTTTACTTTGACAGAGTACTTCTGTTAGCTCGGTCAACATCCACATGAGCCAAAGACTATGGTATGATTATCATACCATAGCATACCATTGTTCAGATTCACAGCAGCCACACTGAAAAGCAGAGCAAAGCAACAGAAGAAAAGCAATTTTCGGGGAAGACTGAACCTTTTATCCATCCACTGAAAGCAGAAACAGTAAACAGGTGCTGTCCTGTGTGAGGAAATCTCTTTGGGCGATGGCTAACACTGTTCCATTCCCATGATACTCCTGCTTATCTTCTGCTCTGGAAAGCTGATCCCCACCAGCGCCCAGGACTGCCTGAAGGAGACAGGGAAGGAGCAAACCGGTGACATTCCGAGCCCTCCACCCCGCAGAGAACTTGGGCAGGAGGGAGCGTGCAGCATGGCACAGCTTCCTTCTCTCTGGCACGGGTGGCCCGATGCATATTCATCCTCCCGGGGCACCCTCCACATCGCATCCCCCCGGGTCCCCTCCGCATCCCCCCGTGTCCCCTCCGGCCCCCGCCCGTCCGGGCCCCGCTCCGCCCCGGGTCGGGCCGAGCCCCCGGCGTTGCGGAGCTGTCCATGGTGGCTCCGCTCCCGCCCCCGCCTCACCTGTAGCGCGGGCGGACGGTGCCGCTGCTGCCCAGGCGGTCCCGCAACAGCAGCGGCCGCGTCTCCGGTGTGAGGCTGCGGGCGGCCGAGTGTCCCAGGGCTGCCGGCACCATCCTGCCGGGGCTGCGGGGCCAGGAAAGCGCCGAGCCCGGCCGCGGGGGGCTGTGGAAGCGCCCCCGCCTGCAGCCGTGCCGTGCCGTGCCGTGCCGCCGTCCAGGCTGAGCCCGCTGCTGCCCCAGCGCCTCTCGGCGGAGTCGGTGCCGGCCGGGATGCAGAGTCCTGTCCGGGAGGGCCCGGGAGCGGCAGTGCCGGCCGTGCGGCCCCGGGATGCCGCGGCGATTCACGCACACCAACTTCTGCCCGCAGCCCTCCGTGGCCGCCCCCTCGGTGGCCCGTGAGCCGCAGGGGCGGCGCTCCGAGGGCAGCGCTCCGGGCCGGTGCGCCGCTCCCGCCGTCGCGGATGAGGACGCAGCGGGCTGTAGGTGATGGGCGGCCCGTGGGGGCGGTCGGCGATCACCGGGACATCCCCGCAGCACCGAGCTCGGCTTACCTCGGTGGCGGATGACGAGGGAGCGAAGGCGGCGGAGCCCTCGGGGCGCACGGCGGGCCCACGGGCGGCCCGGCAGGTGTCGGAGCGGGGTGGCCACAGGCGAGGTGCGGGCGGCGTCCGGGCAGGCCCTGCAAGAAACGGGCGGCGGCAGCGGCGGCGGGGCCGGCGGGGCGAGGGGCGCGGAGGGCGCGGTACCGACCTGATGCTGCGGCCGAGAGCTGCTCCAGGGCGCGTCCCGCGGCGGCACCGGCACCGGGACCGGCTCCGGGTCCGGCGGAAGGGCAGGAGGAGCCGCGGCTCCCCGGGGCTCCCCCGGTCGGCGCATCCCGAGCGGTCCCGCAGCCGCTACCTACAGCCCGGGGCGGCCGCAACACGTGCGCCGCGACTTTGCACGGAGCCGCCAAAAGAACGTTTTGCTCTGGATGTGTTTTGCTTTCGTTGTTTTTGGATTTTTTCCTCCTTTTCCCCCTTCACTTAACGTCGCAACGGCGAAAGCAGAGCCCCGTCCCCTCTCGGTACAGCCCGGAGCGGCGAGCAGCGCGCAGCGGCGCGGACAGAGGGAGCCGGAGCGGCGCAAACCCAGCTGCCGCTCGACGAGCGGCTCCAAACTTCTCTGCACACACTTACCTGTCCCGACAGCGCCCACCGCGGACTCTGCCCGCAGCCGGTCGGAGCCGCCGCACCGGGCAGGGCAGGCAGGCGCAGGCAGCTCCCGCTCCGCAGCTCCGGCTGCCTCCCCTCCGCCTCCCTTTTTATATCCATCTCCCAACCGCTGGCGGTGCCCGCACTGTTTACAGCGGCTCAGCCGCTGGCTCCTCCCAGCCGGGGACGTTCCCTCCAGGCTGGACGTATATCTACGAGCGGCGCCTGATGCCCCGCTGCAGCACGGAAAGGCTTTCCCAGCTCCGGGGGCAGCGGGCTCCTTGCCGGGCTCCCCCCGGGTCTGTGCGGAGCCCGGCCGGGCTCAACAGCCCCGTGCAGAGAGCGCGGCTGGGTGCCGCGACAGGGCTGAGGAGCACCCGTCCGATGTCCTAACCCGGGGCTTGGCATGCCTTGGTCCTTCTTGGGAGGCAGCTGACCCCTCTGGCACCTTCCCTTGGAGTGTTTCACACTCTGCTGTCCTGTGTCTGGCAGATCTGTGGATGATGCTGTAACCCAGCAGCTGCAAAAGCTCCCCTGACAGTGAGTGAGCAGAGAGGTGTTGGCCACTTCACCACCCATCAACCTGTACTGAGTCTGCAGGGAGAGGAAGAGGCTTAGAAACTGCTCCGACAAGACACAGACACAAACCCCATGTCCTGGCACTGCCTCCCTGGCTTGGAAGGCTCCAGCCCCAGTGGCCATGGCACTTGTCACACCTGGCACCTATCTCACCTGGCACTGACCATCACACACTGCCTTGTTTTCCATGAACCCCAACATCAGGTTTTTCATATGAAATGCTCTGAAATAAAGCACAACTGAGCTTCTGGGTGACACATAAACACAGGTATCTGCTTTACTGCAGCCACAGCAGAGTTGTAATACCTCACCTCCACTCCAGGGCCCTACAGCCCGGGAGGACCAGCCAGAAGCGGGGAGGCAAAGGCTGCAGCCACTGCTGCTGCCCAGGGCCAAAGGCAAGGAGGTGCAGAGCCACAGGTGCTGTCGGTCTCAGAGACATTTGTGTGCCATCATCTGGTCAAACTGTTCCAATCTGTCACCTCTGAAATTTATTCTGGTGCAGGATTTCTTCTGACAGAGGGCACAAAGACGCCATAGTCATGTTAATAAGGAGCAAGTGCTGTCAGGCAAAATATGGGAACAGACTGGAAGCAGAGGGGGTGGGTGAGGGGCACAGCCGTGCCCCCTGCTCCAGGCAGCAGCTCCAGTGAGGGAGCAACACTCACTTGTGCTAAACAAAACCCATCCACTCCCTTATACCCAGTCCTGGGACCCAGAGAATTGCTGAACCTGAAGATAAACATCCAGCCCAGAAAAACAAATCCAGATAACACTCCCTTGTTTCAATACTCCACAAACACAGGGAAATGCTAGAGCTGCCACCTTTGCTACCAGCTGTTCATCTGTCATTCAGTGCTGGCACTTCTATTCCTGTCTCAAATAGCTTTTGTCATTTTCCTTCCAAAAAAGCAGCATTAGTCAGCGTTGTGCCTCCCCCTTATCTGAAAATGACACATATGAATGCAGGTCATGGGAACACAGAGCTGTTACCAGAAGTATAGGAGGTTTCACTCCATTTTTAAGAAAAATTTATCTACTGGTGGAAGTTTCAGGCAAGACAAGACAAGTAAGAGTATTTTGTCTTAAAACACACTAAATTCTCTGAACTGAATGCTGGTAGAAGTGCAAAATTCTAAGAGGACCTGAACCTTTTAAAACTGCCAGGCCTCTAGAAATCTCATACATTGTTATTTAAAGTATTTACTTCATGAAAAAGATTCCACATACTTGCAAGCTAAATAAGAGATATCAACTAATCCAATCAATTAATCTAACATGATAATAGCTGAGGTAAGTGGAAAGCACTTAGTGAGTGCTAAGCTTTGTGCAGGCCTTACAGAACAATCAGCAAAGCCAAAGTCACTCCTGCTTACCTGGGACTTTTCCTGAAAAAGCAACCAAAATCTTGAAGGTGTGAGTACTGTTTAAATCCATTAAAGACATTTTCTCTTTTGTAGCCAGAAATAGACTAGTTCAAATTTTTTTTTGAGAGAGAGAATTACTCTCAGATAAAAGATTTCAGTGCCATTTCACCCCATATTAAGTTTTCCCTGGCCTGAGGAAGAAAATTTCAGAATAAAAGGGACTGAAAATATCACCCTGTTTTCTAAAAATTGCTGTCTCTTTTTAAGGTAAACATAGAAGCCCCCATTACTATGTGTAGAGTGGTGCTTGGCAGCTAAACTCTTTCCCTTTCACTCTTTAGATTCCATTTTTCCAAGCTGATTTCTGTTTTGCAGCAGCACTGGGATGAAATTTACCCCGCAGCCCTCTGTTGCAGGATGCATCCACAGCGTGAGAACACTCCCGAGCAACCTCACACCTGCAAATGAGAAATCATGACTAACGCTCACTGCCTCCGACACATGCTTGGTGAAACTTTTCCTCACAGAAATAACCAACCTGATCCCTCCTCCGAGTGCTGCTGTGGGTTATAAACTGTGCTTACCCTCCTAACAAACAAAAATGGGTCATTTTCTGTAATGGGCTGCCAGGGACGAGACGACCTCTGCCATCCTGTGTCTTGGCACGTCACAGTGCTTGTGATGCTTTGCCTACAAACACAGCTGGAGCGTTCAATAGCAAATATCGATGGCTGAGATTTCCGTGGTAAGGCCAGGGCAGATAACCAAGCCAATCTGAGTCAGTGGTGTGCGGGAATTCACTCGCAGGGCACGGACATCCCTGCCCAGGGACTCAGCTCTGGCACACAAGTGCAGGGAGGCTCCTCCTGTGTGACTTTTTCCCGGGCACACTCCCTCGCTGGGCGGTTTCCTGTTTCCTTCGAGAAAGGAAGGAGGAACGGAGGCAGCATCCCCTGGGCAGCACCCCGTTCCCACGGAGCGCTGGGGGCGCCGCGGGATAACTCCGGCAGCGGGAGACTCGCCGTAGGTGTGAGAACCCGGAGCCCCCAGGGACACGGACACGGGGGGACACACGGGGGGGACACACGGGAGGACACGGGCGCCGACCGTCCCTGCAGAGCCGCGGGCGGCCGGGAGGCGGCGCCCTTGCACAGCCGCTGCCCCGCGGCCCGGCCGGAGCCCGCGCGGCCACCGCGACCCTGCCCATCCTGCGCTGGTACTGCCCATCCTGCGCTGGTACTGCCCATCCTCTATCGATCCTGCCCATCCTCTATCGATCCTGCCCATCCTGCGCTGGTACTGCCCATCCTGCACTGGTACTGCCCATCCTCTATCGATCCTGCCCATCCTGCGCTGGTACTGCCCATCCTGCAGGGTACTGCCCATCCTGCACTGGTACTGCCCATCCTCTATCGATCCTGCCCATCCTGCAGGGTACTGCCCATCCTGCACTGGTACTGCCCATCCTC